AATAATTAATATTATAACTAATATAATTATATTAATTATAATATATATTAATAATTTATATTTTATATTAATATATAATTATATACATATATATAATATTAATTAATTTTATTAAATAAAAAATAAATAAAATTAATATTCAAATATTTTATATAGTAAAATAATAATATATAAAAATAAACCCAAATATTTAATATTTTATTTATTTGTGTTAATATTCAACCACGTGAATCATGCAATTCTTCAATTTCAATTTTTCATGATAATACATATACATAGGTATATATATATTAAAAAAAAAAAATGAAATACCTTGATCATTATTGAAGTATTCCTGAGATTTACGTTTGTCCTTTTTTATGTCAACTTTTTGTGATTCGTATTCGCTGAATGCTAAAATGTGATCGAGATTTTCCAAATCCTTTGGATCGTTTAAGCTAACTATTACCGTTTGAGATTGAGCTAAACTTTGGTCTTGTGTTGAATTATAATTTGGGAAAACAAGATCCGTGGTACCTTTGATCAATGAAACTATTTGTTCGTTGTTTGAACTGTTAGGATTTTCAATGGCAGCTGCACCGACAAATTTCGTCATGTTGTTTTTACTCGAAAGTACAATTTCCTCCAATAGTAAATCATCTTTAGAAACATTTTTCGTATTTCTTTGCAAACTAGTAGCGTTTGATATTCTTGATTGTCCTAGCTAGAAAAATAATGGTTTTTTTTATTTGAATAAATACACACGTGTACACATTCACCTAAACACACACACCACACATACACTAGAATTGAGTAAATAACTATTTTCTCCAACGGAATTACGTGAACTATATTGTCGCGGGAATACTCTGAAATTATTTGAAAGATGATTTGAATATGCCAACGGGCAAGAAATGTTTTTTAAAAGTTAAATGATATTTTTGATTGAATGCGGTACCATCACATCCCCCCTTTGAAAAAAGTTCAAGAAATATTCTTTTTTACATTAGATAAGTTATATCTCATGTTTACTTTTGATAATGTATATTTATGATTATTTTTAGATCATACTAAATGTTTAATGTTAAAATAGTTATTATATACAAAGAAGAAATTTACATGTGTATATAAATAATATCTTATTTGGTATCAATTTTTATATGAGCTCATCTTTAAAGTTGTAATTTAATATTAATTTTTTAGAGAGTAATAAATTTGTGATTAAAACATAACATAAATAAATTTAAAATAAATGATTCAGATGATTCTACATATAGATATTTATTATTATTAATTAAATAAAATAATAATTTAATTTTTAATAAATTTGTACTCGAGTGAATTACCAATATTTTTCATTTAATAATTATATATTATAATGCATAATAATTAATTCCAAATTATATTATATATAATATAATATATTATAAATTAATTACTATTTAATATTTATATTATATTTTCATAATAAATAAATATATTAAAATTAATATATTAAAAATTTAGTAAACATATTAAAATAATAAAATAAAAAAAAAAAATATATATATATATATATATACTATAATATATAATAATAAATACCAAAAATAACATAAATAACCAATAATAAATTACCTATAATAAATTACCCATATTTTTTTTTTACTTTATACCATATAATATATTAATTGTAAAAAAAAACCAATAAATAAATCATTTTCAAATAATTATCATTTAGTACAAATAACACACTCGAGTCTCTTTATTTATAACAAAATCCGAAATAAGGATTTATTTTTGATCAATTAGGATAAATTAATCGATTAAATCAAATTACCAGATAAATAAACAATGACAACCAAATAGCCATAGATATTTTATAAGTTCCCATAACTCCACCTTACGACGAGTCCACTATTAAGACTGAACTGTTAACCTAAACTACCAAGCCAATTATATCAACTGGTTAGGCTTTTTAGAAAACTGTTGAGCGAATGATTCGACAATTTCACAGCGATTTATCGCATCGTAGCTTCGCAAATCGTTGATCTCTGTTGATCGTCGAGGATCTTGCGCTAACGTAAGATCAAAATCATCGATCCTTTTGGCTTCCTCCTTTCTCTTACAGTTACACAACATTTATTTCGATCCGATAGATAAATATCAGTGAGATGGAAGATTGGGTAGGAGGAAAAGGAAAAAACATTTTCGATTATCAACGGTGAGATAAAAACATTCGGAATTTTATATTTCTTTATTTAATTATAATTATTAATTATTACATTGTTCAATAATTTGTCATTCGTTCTACGATTATTCCATGTCAATGATTACTGTGATTTTTACTTTTCTTTTTTTTTGGGGGGAGTTTTTTTTATAATTTTGTTTTTGTGGTAACGATTATAAAATTGTTACGACAATAATTTAATAATTATAGCGTGTTTAATATTATTCTAATAATTGTTATTTATTATAGGTTTTTTTTCTTTTGGAAAAATTTCTTTTTTTTATTCTAATGTAATTATTAGTTAAATTAAATTAATTTGTTTTTTTTTAATATAAAAATTTATTTAAGAAAAACATATTTTATACGATATATATACATATAAATTTATGTAATAGAGAGTGTACCATTTTAAATAAATTATTGATTCTTTTTTTCCTCGATTAGGTTTATTCTTCAAATTTGATCTCTAGAAGTCTCAGTTTTTTATTACCTTTAAAGAAAATTCACCCCATTATTCTTAACACGAACTTTTTCTTCTTCATCTTCTTCTTCTTCTTCTTCTTTTTCTTTAATTCTTTTGACAAGAGTTGTGAATATATTTCCATATTATTTATTTTTGGTCGTTAACGTTTTCTTATTGATGAAGAACTAACAACGTTTATTTTACAACGTAAAAAAACACATCACACATAATTTAAGACAAGAATGAATAGTATAATAATTTTATTATTATTATTTTATACAATAATAAGTAGAATAAAAAAGAAATAAAGTAAAGTCAAGTATAATAATAGTCTTATACAATAGATTTGTTTTACAATAATTACTATTATAATTATTATTATTATTATAATATACTACTTTATTATTATATTATACTACATTATTATTATAATAATATTATATTATACAAGAGATTATTATAAAATATTTTATAAACTATAAAAATCTTAATTATTAAGATTAATAATTAATCCAATCACATTCATATATCATAATTTTTATAATACAACATATAACATATTATAATGATTAAACAAATAAAATATAATAAAATATAAATACTTTACAACTATATATTATTAAATATAATTTATAAAATAAATTTATATATTTTGTTAAAAAAATAAAATAATAATATATTTATTTTATTGAAAATAAAGAAAATAACAAATGTAATATGTAATAACAATGTTTGAAATCATCGTAGGCGTTCTAATAATCTACGAACTATCATTAAAGTCGCCTACATTCGCGTTAAATTATTCTAATGTAAATTAAAGGGAAGCATCTCGAATAGATAACATCAATATAGATTTTTTTTTTCTTATTTTTTTGTTTTCTTAATTTTTTATTTTCTTAATTTTTTTTTTCGATTTAATGGCTCAAGTAGCAGACCGTGGCCAATTTCACGCCAAGATTTTCACTTTTCACGGAGGACAAGCATGAACTTCGCAAAATTTCAACCCCGGGTGCGATCGATGTGCTTAACTGATGTCGACTTACTCAACCGATTTCTCGCTCTATCGCATTTTAAAATCAAAAAATCTTTCGTCATTGTCTTAAGAACAAAAAGAAAAAAAACATTAAAAAAAGAAATTAAAAGAAAAAGAATAAATTAATGAAAAATGTTTAACAGTTATCACAAATTTAATCGAAAATTAAATTAATTTCGTTAACTTGACATATATTTATGTAATTTATCTAATTGTAAATGATTTTTTTTTTATATATATAATAATATAATTTAATTTATATATAGATCATTATAATCAACAACACATTAGATTTATAATTCAATTTCAATAATCTTTGGTTTTTAAACGAGTAGGAATTTGTCGTGAATAATTTAACTTTTGTTATTCATTGAATATTTTTTTCCTAAAGATTGTCCACCCTTTTTGCCATATTTCTCGTCAAGATGATGATGATCATCATATCCTTCGGCTGATTTTTTACCCTTTTCGTCATGACTGTGATGTCCCTTCTCATATTTCGATTCTTTACCATGTTTATCCTGAATAAATCAAAATTTTATTAAAATATATTTAAAAATAAAATATTTCTTAATTTTTATTAGTTATTTCTATTAGGACAAATAAAAAGAATAATAATAATATGTTTATTGTAAAAACCTCATCGTAACCGGAATCACGGTGTCCTTTCTTTTCGTTACTTCCTTTTTTACCCTCGTGTTCTTGATAATAGCCACCATGTTTCTCTTGATCACCATCTTCGTGATACTCATCGTAAAAATCATGTTTTTTCTCATATTCATCCTAATCATAAACAAATAAATATATATTAGATTTAAATCGTTGAAAATTTATTTAATCAATAAAGAAAAAAAAGACAAATGTTGTTACATTATTGAAAATTTAAATTATATTTATATTATTAATAATAAAATGTTTATTTTCTATAAATTTATAATATTTATTTTTAAATTATATATTTATTATTTTAAATAAATTTATATTACATAAATTTTATTATTAATAATATAATATAATTTTATAATAATATAAATTAAATTAAATAATTAAATAATAAATTAAATAATATAATAATATAATATAAAATTTTATATTTTGTTATATAAATATTTATTTGTATTATATTAAAATTTATTTATTCGAAATTCTAATTGCCGAATTAAATTAGTGAAAAATTCAGAATTAAAAACATACTTTTTTAAAAATATTATGTTCCCCTTTAGTACTGTGTCCCTTTTGATGTTTCCCTTCTTCCTCAAATTTCGCTTTCTTCTCTCCTTTTACACCACTATGATGTTCACCGTAATGGCCACCCTCTTCGTGTTTTTTTTTATCATGGCCTTCCTTCTCATCATAACTATCCTCATGATCCTCTTTGTCATGATGGCCCTTTTCTTCCTTCTCGTACTCGTGAATCTTTTCGTAACCCTTTTGTTTTTTTCGTTTTTACGAAAAATAAATTCAATCATTTTAAATAAATTGTATTTAAATTCATCAATAAATTATTAACATTATAAATAATAAATCAGAAGCTACTATTTAAATACAAATGTTAGAAAATTTAACGAAATGAACTTCATGGCTGAATTAATTGAAATTGAAAAAAAAAAAGAGTAGATGCCATACCTCGTCGTCTTTTTCTCCCTTTGATTCGTAATGTTCCTCTTCGTGTTTCAAACTGCCACCCTTTTCGATGTGTTTCTCACCACCACCATCACCACCTCCCCCACCGACGTCAGTTTCACCACCGCCTACTTGAATCAATTGCAAATAAAGCGTCTAGTTATTCGTTGTTAAAGGTGAACGTCTTTTTAAAGGAGACCATTCGATGCCCTTTAATAGTACAATTAAGGTCATCTAAAAGAGACTTTGATATTTCTTTTTTTTTTTTTTTATTTCCTTTTCTAACAATTCTACATTGAATTGAAATCAATACGTTTATTGGAAACTACGGAATAAGATGATGTTAATTAATTTGTTGTCATTAAGATTTGTTTACACATTTTCATTTGTTTAAAAGTGTATTAAATAAATGATATTATATTTAAATAAAAAATTAAATAATAAAATATGAAATTAAACTATATAATAATTAAATAATAATAAAATAAAATAATAAATTAATGCGTATTAATAAATAATATTTGAAAATTTATTACTATTTTATATATATATACTATTTAAATAATATATCATTATAATAATATAATATATATATATAAATAATGATATATTAAATAATATAATATTTATATACATAAATTAATTATTTTTATATAAATTTTAAAATAGAAATATTTATTTTTTCCAAGCACAATTTTTAATAACAAATTATTATATTTGTTATATACAAAGTATTGAAATTGTAATTTAATAATATAAATAATAATAATTAAAATAAATAATAAAATTAATTTAATAATATAAATAGAATTAAGTACCAAAATACTATCATATAATGATAGTAATATCTATTATCTAGATAGTAATATCTATTATACTATCGTATAATAATAGATAATAATATTTTCTTTTATAATAATTATTAACTATAACAATATTATAAAATTACTAACTATAATAATTAAAACTAAAAAAATATCAAAATTACAAATCAATTAAAAATTATAGTAATTTTTACGTGCCTTTACTACTAGCTGATGTTTCGAGATCATCAACGTATCTAAATGCAATAGGTCTTCTGTTAATTTTTTTCAAGGTCAACGATGTATCAATCAATATAAAAAAAACACACAAATAAATAAATAAAATATTAGACATTTTGTATAAATCACGTTTACAAGTAAAGAAAATCATGAGCTAATTGTAAGTTTTAATTTGAATCTATCGCGTGATGATCTAAACGATCTACTGAAATCGGTTAGCATGATGCCACGGATTTAATATGATCGAGCTTCCTTCGATTGTCCATTTTTTTTGTCGTCCATCTTGTGGTCGAGTTCTATCAGTGTCAACTTTTTTATCAAACTATAAACAACGTCGTCTTAACTTTCTTCTTACGTTTCGATATTAGAACAAAAAAAAATGATCAGATCATAATGGTAAATATAAATTTTATGAAAAGAAGATTAATATAAATTTTTTTTAATAACTTTCACGATTATTGACACGCTTGTCTATCAGTTTTCAAATTTTTTTAATTCATTGATATAAATTTGTTCCATCATTTCGTAAAATTTTTTGTTCTATTAAAATATATTGACATTGAATTGCTTGTAATTTGAAGTAGGTGTACTTGAATTTATTTATATTTATATAGAGGGTGTCCCAACTAAAGAAAAACACCTAAATATATATATTTATATGTATATTAATAATATAATATTATATATATTATATAATATTATATTATTTATTTATATTATATATTATTATATTATATTTT